TGTTGTTGGTGATTAGTATCACATTTGGGATCATCAACATCATCACAGCCATGGAAGGCAGTCCTATTTCCTCCATCCAACCTGAAGGTACCAAGTTTTAATTATTTTCACAATGTGTTTCTTATTATTTTTTCCAATAATTATATCATGGTCGGTAAGTTATTAGATATCCAATATATGAATTAAATTTATCCAATCCATCAGCTTAAGTTTTTAGGTTAAGTGGTGATTTACAACGACGCAGCGGTTTGAACGCAAGACCTTCCACTTTAGATACCATAATAAAGATGAATAAACTATCAACTAGGTTGAGTTGGTGGATGGAGTAAATTTAATTTATATATTGGATATCTAATACAATAATAATTAATGAATATTATTGTTGTATCATATCGCAGGAGGAGTACCAGAACTGACTTCAGTCGGAGGTATTCCAAAAATAGTGTATATGATGCCCTTTTCGCATCAATAATTRTGGCTATATGTTTTTTTATATGGTTGTTTTTTAAGATTGTACAGCTAAGGAAGGATTCTAGGCATCACATTGTGGATGCAAACAATAATCCATAAAATAAAATAGTCCTTCATATGAAGCAGTAATTAGGAAGAACTTAAATTTCCTTCCTTTATCCTCCAATTTGTTATAAAGTACTAAATTGTTGAGATAATAATATATTTCTTTAAACTTTATTAATCGTTGTCTTATTACATTTTAATGTGAAACTTTTCTATTTGTGAATATATTAGAAAATATTAAACCAGCCAATCTTAGAAAATATTTCTACGTATGGAGGTTCTTATTCTATGTAACTTGTTTTTTTATGAAATATTTAGATTTTTAAATTGATTATTTTTTAAATTTGTACTTTTTATTTATGATAAATGGGAATGGAATGATTTAGAGATAACGTGTGATGAAATTTTATTATTCAGCATTTTTTAGCGAGATTTTTGTTATTTCCAATGTTGTTTCCTCGCGTGCATTTTAGAGACCGTCGTCAAAAATAAAATTTGTGGTAGTATGTTACATGATTTTAAATATTCATTGACACGTCGACATTTCCATCGATATATCCATATTTTCATAGATTCGATATCGATATGAGGGATAAATCACATTTCCATCATAGTAAAAATAAATTAGCAAAATATGAAAATATCAAGAAAATGTAACTAATATATACATAATATTAAGACTAATTATTTTTAACTCATTTAGAAATAGAAAATTATTTATTTGCTTATTTAAATATTTTTTACGATTTTTTTATTTTTTCTAACTTTTACATAAAATCCATTGATATTTCCATGAAATTGATACCTCGACATTTTCATCCACATCAACATTTAAAACYTTGGTGTGTTATAGTGCGCGTATTGAAGTCACTCCATTTGTAACTTTAAAAACAATAACGATTTCATTAGCCAAATTGAGCATGGATCAAGTGGTTAAGGCACTTATCTCTAACTAAAAGGTCATGCATTCAAACCTCCAACCTCACATGATATTTTTGAGTTATGAATCGGGAATAGAACCAATGGGCGATGCTTGAGAGCAATTTAGAATTCGTTATTATATTGTTTGTTCTAGTTTTTGTTGTTTTTTATGTTGAAACGGTTTTAGAAGCTTTAATTTTCGTGCTTATCCTATTTGTCGGTTTAGTTTATACATGACGAAAATGAGCATTGGAATGGTCTTAGTTTTTGTACTAAAGAAAATAATGATTCCATTATTTTTTTAAAAAACAAAAAAACAAAGAAAAAACTTGGTAACCTATGAGTTGACAATATAAAAAATAAATAAATTAAACACTTTAGCAAATAATAGTTATCTTTAAAAAATATATTTACAATATTTCTGTGAAGACATCAGTTTACAAATAATTTAAAAAATAAAAAAAATAGAAATCTATATAAAGAATGGCCCAATTTAATTTTTTAAATAATTAATATATAATGTATTAACTACTTTACTAAATTATGAACAAAAAAATTAAATACTTTTTAAAAGCTAACTATTTATACTAGAAAATAATAATTTCTCAATAAAATCTCTCTCTCTATATACTTTTTATGTTTTTAAATTCTAAAAAAAAATTAAAATTAATTACTAAATCAGTACTTTTCCCTTGCAAAAATTCTCGTCCCTCCAAATAAGGATTCTTCGACCTAGATCTTGATTTTCATAATCGAAGAACATAGGGTGAAGACGAGGTCTAAGAATTTCTGCAAGGACAAGAATGGGAAGGAAATCCAACTCTTGCCTTACCTTATTGTGATCCTTACTCTACATTGATTTTTCTTTCTAGCATATCTCTTCAATTACCTAACCTAAAACAAATCGAAAAATAAAATAGTTATCAAAGATATTTGATTTTCTATTATTTAAAATCAATAAACGACGGTTATCAAACATATATAATTTTTGTTTTTCATTTTAAATTGAAAGTCTTTAGAAAAATGTTTCTTGATAGATGCTGTTTTATTTTATTTTTTTTGAAATAAATGGACATAGACCTTCCTAAAGAGTATATATATTTATAACATTTGATCCAATATACCTCAAAAATGTTTAAGTGAGTGGACTAATTCTTTAAGGCCACCCTAATTGATTTTCGCCACATACATATCATTTTAGAATACTCATAAAAACAAGAAATGCATTAATGAGAGATAGGGTGGGAGTAGACACCGTATTTGCTCCAACTCATTTTTATTATTTTTATTTATTCATTTATTCAATTATTATTATTATTTTATTTTACTTGAAAGTTGAAGAACAAAAAAATATATTTTTTACTTTTTAAATTAAAAAAACTGTATTTTCATTTAATTAAATTAAAAATTTTGAAAATATATTCTTTCAACTATTTATATCAAAAACAAATCATGTTTACCAAATATTTCTTATTTTATTATATCTTTTCTACGTTAATTCAATGTAAGTTTATTTTGAACAAACTATCAAATTTATGTATATATAAAATCATAATTTTTAATATTTATATTAAACAAACTAATGATTTATTATACTTTTAGTTTTACATATTACTTAATTTTAATGTTTATAATAAATACATCTAAAATAATTTTTCGGGATAAAACTTTTATCCCTAAACTCTCCATAGGTTGTTTCAATTTTTACCAAACTTTTAATTTGTACAATCTAAACCCTAAACTTTATATAAGTATTGCAATTTTACTCTTTATTTCATATGTTTGCTAATTTACCTATTAATTTAAACAAATAAAAAGTTAGAAACTTTAAAAAGAAATACTTTTTTTAGTACAACATGTGGGTTGAGGATCAAACTCATAACCTCTCGATTAGATATATATCAATTATCATTGAACTATGCTTTCTTTAGCCTTTAAAAAACGATACTAATTTCACAAAAATCACACTTTTCTTCAATTAAATTGGATTAATGTACAAAATTGAAACTTACAAAATTCAATACAAACAAAACCTGCTTTAATATGGCTTTTATCTGAGTTGTATCAGTTTCCTACGGAATATGTCTTTTATTAATTATGTGACACGTATGATAATATTTTTTCTAACAAGTTTTCTAATGAAAATCTATCAAGTCAAAATCGCAATACTTTTTAAAGTCTAAGATGACGACCCAACAAATTTATTCAAATTTAAGATGAAATTTGATGAAATTGAAAGTTTTGGTAAAAATTGATAGACAAGTGCAGAGTTAAATTCTATATGTTTGCATCCAGTGTATGTAAATTTGTAACCCGACATCAAATTCTAGATCGGCCGTTACTGCCTATTATATTTATACGTAGTTGTATGCGGCATTAAATCCTGGATCCGCCGTGGGTTGGAATTTTTTTCGCAAACAGAAACTACTTATTTGTAATCAAAATTTTATTTTATTTTTTTTGTTCTTTGACTTTATGTTCATGTGATATCAAGCTATATCCCACCTACCAAATGGGTTTAGGTGATTAATTAAAATTCTAATATACACATCAGTCGTAATAACATTACTTTAGCTGTCATTTCCTTATAAGGGAACTGTTCCATATTGATAAGCACAAATTTATTTTATTTTTAAATGAAGGGAAAATAATAGGTCTAAGGACGAATTGGTTCCAATCATTTCATTTTGATATATAAATATATTGATATGAATTGATTTTATTGAAGAAGCAAATTCAGTTGTATTTGGAAGAATGGCTTCCAAAGCAATAATGTGGTTGATGATAGTATTGTTACTTCACTTAAATTGCAAAGGCAGCTTGGCTTTTGACTCAAACCTCTCGAGGGAAGAAGAACTGGAACTCGAAATGCAACTCAAACTTCTCAACAGGCCATTCATTACAACGTTTCAGGTTTTTTTTTTTTAAGCCAAAATGCCAATGAGTAAACTATAACGGGAATGATTTTACATAGTTGTATATTTATTTGATATGATATGTGTCGTAACGCATACCTATTGAACCATATTTCGATTGGCTAGTATTTGATGTTTAAAATTGTAAAACTCATTCGAATGAGACAATGAACTTCATTTGGATGATTGTTTTACTTGCATAAAATTGCATTAAATCCCGTTGATTTTAATTTGGTTGAATCATCCTTCATGGATTGGACAATTTCTTTACTCTCTGATTTTTCGTTGTTTAGACGGAAGAGGGAGATATCATTGATTGTGTGGACATCAATAAACAACCGGCACTAGATCATCCTTCACTAAAAAGTCACAAAATTCAGGTATTTATATCTTTATTTTACACACTTTTTTTTATTCTAACTCTTGTAAAATTTTGATCACATTTTTTCCTTTTTTCTTTAAGTGATTTAGTCTCTATCCTTCTATCCTTCGATCATATATGTAAGTGATGTTTAAAAAGGTAGATGGTAAATCTAGGGATTTGTTAGTTTGATGGATGCTTTCGATGTGTTAAGGAAATACAAAATATAAAAATAAATAAATAAAAAGGATCGGAAGTATTATTTCTACTATGTTAGAACAATACTTATGGATAAATTGGGTGGTGAGAACATCTTCTTAATGCAAGGGGGTTTAATTGTTACATTAATCATTAAAAAGAAGTTCAAATTGTTAAAGAGTACATAAGAATACAAAAATTATAAATGTGTTTTCTTTTTTATGCATATATAATCTTCTACCTTTGTTTTTTCTTTTCATTTTTGTTGCATGTAATAGACTCGACCGAGTACATATCCCTTTGGCTTGTCAAAAGATTCGTCTTCATCAAGAGATAAATCATTCATAAACAACAACAATAGAGCTTGTCCAGCTGGATATGTTCCTATCCGAAGAACAATAAAGAAAGATTTGATTAGAATAAGATCTCTATCATCAAAGGAACCAACCGGTATCAAAACAAGTATAAAAGGTGGAGTGGACTTCCCATACAATCAAGATGTAAGCATCTCTCTTGCCGAGTCAATTAAAATTAAAACATATATCTTTCTAAGTTACTAATATGATTCATGTTATATTTATTTTTCTTTGTCGAATAAGGTGGTTTCTGTTGCTATGAAGAAAGGCATTAAATATTATGGAGCTAGTGGTAGTGTGTCAGTATACAATTTGAGTGTGGCTCAAGATCAATCTTCTTCTTCTAACATATGGATAATTGGTGGACCTCCCCAAGCTCCTAATGTAATACTAGCAGGCTGGCAGGTAAAATAAAATCATTTTATTACTCCTTAGATATTTAAGTGATAATTTTGTCCGGCTTGACTTATTTATTTATTTTTATATTATTTGATTTCTTAGGTGAATCCAATGATCAATGGTGATAGTCTTACTAGAATGTTTGTGTATTGGACGGTAAGGAACTACCATTCTTGCCCTTTAATTTTTATGATTTTTCTTTGCATTATTTGTGTGATAAATTTATGATCCAAAATTACTGGTTGAACTTGAAAGTCCACAATAGGACTTTTAAGTGAGATATTATGCACTTTTTTAATCCCAGTGAATTATTCTCCTCTATAGTGTTTTGTTGTGGAGGACTTTTAATGTAAATTTTATGTTTTCGTAATAGAATTCTTTTACTTATTTTTGAGATTTTACTATTGAATTTCAACTATTTATTAAATTTTAACAGGCTGATGGAGGTATTCATACGGGATGCTACAATATGTTCAGTCGAGGTTTTGTACAAACAAATCCAAGTACTCCTCCTAATATCCCCATCCAACCATCATCAACCTATCATGGGAAACAATATGATTATCTATGGGAAACAATATGATTATCTATTTACTGTTTTTCAGGTAACAAAATTGTTACCACTCATACATGGCATATACATATAATATCTAAATTATATAAACTATGCCTTTTGGAATCCAAAACAAGACTAGTATGTGGACTAGTCCAGTGCCTTGATCTAAGCCTAAAATCCCAATATTTTATTTCATGTCTCTGCCAAACGATCGACCTCATACTAACCAACATGTTCTCGCTTGTGTATCATAGATCTTTCCCAAATTCTTCAACGAAATTCTCATTAAGATCGACTTTGATACCCGTGATACTAATTCTCTTCTTCATAATATGTTATGCGTGAAATTATTTTAGGATCGACCAACCGGGAATTGGTGGCTTGCAGTAGGTGAGAGCCATAAAACAATAGGGTATTGGCCAAAGGAACTGTTTGGACATCTGAACGACGGGACAGAGCAAGTGGCATGGGGAGGCATCGCAAAGCCTTCACCAAATGGAATGAGCCCTCCATTGGGGAATGGCCACAAGCCAAATTATAGTAAATACGACGATGCTTGCTATTTCAGATATATGAACTACGTTGATGAAAACAACAAAGGCCAATTTCCAGCCAATGAGAACACAGCGAATTATTTAAGTAACAACTCTTGCTATGCTTTGGATAACAGAGAGACGTGTGGAGGAGAGTTTTTTTATTATTGCATCACTTTTGGAGGACCTGGTGGAAATAATTGCAGTCCCTAATTACCTAATTAGCTACAGATAATGTTGAAGCTTAGCTTTTGGCTTTATGCTATGTATGGGATTGAAGGAATAATTTGAAGGTGTGTTAATCCAAATGTACTGTCCTTTGGTTTTAAATTCTACTTCAAACTTATGAATTTTCATATTTATTTTTGTTCATCTCTCAACTTTTAAATGTCGTATATATTTTCTTCTTGAGAGGGACCCTTGGATTTAGTGGTGTCTTTCTATTTTGGTTTCGCTTTATTTGTATTTATCAATATTCGTGGGTTCCATCTAAAAATTAATTGGCAATGAAAGGAGTTGTCCATGTCTAGTACAAACCTTTATTAGGTTCCTTTTATTTTCAATGTGAGATCCTTAACATGTCCGTTCAAGATCGTGGCTCTTTTGGCTCATCGATCTTGATCGGATCCCATTTTTGGATCAAATGCTCATTTGAACGTTTTGGACTCTGATACCATTTTAAGGATGAATAAAACATCATTCAACTCAAATCTTAAGCTGATGGATTGGATAAATTTAATTTATTTATGAGTATCTTAATAGTATTATTTGTACAAATAGGAAATTTATAAATGATGCGGACAGGAAAAGGTGTTCCCTTTTCTGCTTTTAAAATTTTAATAAATAAAATAGACATTTTGAAAGTTTGATACAAAAGTGAAATAAACTTGAACGTGGAAGAAAAAAATATATTTTGTACTTTTTAAATAATAAAAAAACTATATTTTTCGTTTAATTAAATTAGAAATTTTTAAAAATATATTTTGTCAACTATTTATATGAAACACAAATATTTAAAATTTTACTATATCTTTTCTACATTTAGGACAATATAAGTTATTATGAACAAATAAAATTATAATTTTTAGTATTGTGTAGAAGAAATTTTAATATTTATATTAAACAAACTAATGATTTATTACTTTTAGTTTTACATATTACTTAATTTGAATGTTTATAATAAATACATCTAAAATAATTGTTGAGGATAAATCATCTTTTATCCATAAACTATCTGTAAGTTGTTTCAATTTTTACCAAGCTTTTAATTTCTATAATTTAAACCCTAAACGTTAGACAAGTGTTGCCATTAAAATACTAATTTAACAAAAATCACATTTTTCTTTCGATTAATGTACAAAGTTGAAACTTACAAAATTCAATAACAAAAAAACCAGCTTTAATATCCATTTTTCTGAATTTTTTTATTAATTATTTGACACATATCATAATAGTTTTTTCAACAAGTTTTTTAATGAGAATTATCCGATAAAAATCGCAATACTTTTTAAAGTCTAGATGAAACTTCAACATAGTAAAAATTTTTATTTTTATTTTTTTAGTACAACACGTAGGATGAAGAATCGAACTCACAACTTTATGGTTTGAGATATGTCAATTACTGCTATGCTATGTTCGCTTTGACAGAATTAATTAGATAAAAATTGATAGGCAAGTTCAGAGTTAAATTCGATATTTTTGCATCATGTGATCTGAATTGTACCCCGACATCAAATTCTGATTCCGCTATTTGCCTATATATTTATATGTACCCGGCATTAAATCTTGATCCGCCGCTGATTTGAATTTGTTTTGCAAACAGAAACTACTCATTTGTAATCAAACTTTTTCTTTCTTTGTTTGTTGACTTTATGTTCGTGTGATATCAAGCTATATCCCACCAACCAAATGGGTTTAGGTGATTAATTAAAATTGTAACATACACATCAGTCATAATAACATTACTTTAGCTGTCATTTCCTTATAAGGGAACTGTTCCATATTGATAAGCACAAATTTATTTTATTTCTAAATGAAGGGAAAATAATAGGTCAAGGACGAATTTGTTCCAATCATTTCATTTTGATATATAAATATATTGATATGAATTGATTTTATTGAAGAATGCAAATTCAGTTGTATTTGGAAGAATGGCTTCCAAAGCAATAATGTGGTTGATGATAGTATTGTTACTTCACTTAAACTGCAAAGGCAGCTTGGCTTTTGACTCAAATCTCTCGAGGGAAAGAAGAATTGGAACTCATAAATGCAACTCAAACTTCTCAACAAGTCGTTATGATGAGCAAAACCATATCGAGAATGATTTTACATAGTTGTATATCGATTTGATATGATATATGTGTCTTAACTCATATATGCGTCTTTTTGATTGTTTAGTATTCCAACAACGAGATGAACTTCATTTAGATTGTTTTAATTACATAAAATTGCAGAAGGATGATTCAGCCCAATTAAAATCAGGTGGATTTAACATTTTTTTTAAGATTTAAATGCATTTTTTATCTATTTAAATACATATATAATATAATATAGGACTTAGAGAATTTGTTCTCTCTCTAATTTTTTGTGTCTAGACGAGAGATATGATTGATTGTGTCGATATCAATAAACAACCAGCACACGATCATCCTTCACTAAGAAATCACAAAGTTCAGGTATTTATATCTTTAATTTATGCTAATTTTTTCTCAACTCTTATAAAATTTTGATCATATTTTCTCTTTTTAATGGTTTAGTCTCTATCCTTGAATTACATATATGTCATTTACATTTAAAGGTAGATGGTAAGTCTAGGGATTTTTATGGAATGGGTTAAGGAAGTACAAAATTATACACCTACAATAAAAACAATCAAAATAAAAATAAAAATTGGATCGAAAGTATTATTCTACTATGCGAATTAGAAAAATACTTATGGATAAATTGTGCCGTCTGGTTAATGCAGGAGTACATCAAGATACAAAAATTATAAATGTGACTTCTTTTTCTATACATATATAATATTCTTTTCATTCCTTTTTTTTTCCCTGTGCATGTAACAGATTCAACCAAGTACGTATCCATTTGGCTTGTCAAAAGATTTGTCGTCTTTATTAAGAGATAATTCACTCATAAATAACAAAAATAAACCAGCTTGTGGGTTGGATATGTTCCTATCCCAAGAACACAAATGAAAGATTTGATTAAAATAAGATCTCTATCATCAAAGCAATCGGCCAGTATCAAAACAAATATAAACGGTGGAATCGACTTCCCATACATTCAAAATGTAAGCCTCTCTCTTCCTTTTAGTTGATTTCTTAGAGAAGAAAAGTATTGAAAAAATATATCTTTCTAAGTTACTAATTGAATCCTAATATGTATTTTTCTTTGTCAAATAAGGTGGTTTTTCTTGCTTATGGAGCTATTGGGGTGTCTCTATATACGATTTGAGTGTCGCTCAAGATCAATCCTCTTCTTCTAATATATGGATAATTGATGGACCTCTCGAAATTCTCAATGTAGTACTGACAAGATGGCACTTAAAATAAAATCATTTTATCATTTGTCATGATGTCAAGTGATGATTATAAATGTTTTTGAAACAACTAATTTTATTACAAATAACACATTTGAAAAGATGTATTTTCAACTGCACATTAGTATAGCTTAATAATTTAAGATGTACACTATATATATATATATATTGTCTTTATATTATTAAGTGTGCTTTTTGGGTTTATTGGACAACTTTAAAGTGATGACGTTGTTTGAATAGTAATTTGTAACGCTTGACTTATTAATTATTATTTTTTAATGTTGTTTGGATTATTATTTTAGGTGAATCCAATGATCAATGATGATAGTCTCACTAGAATGTTTGTGTATTAGACGATAAGACAAGTACACATTTTATAATTTTTCTAGTAATATATTACATTATTTGTGTTATAAATTTATGATCCAAAATTATTGGCCGAACTTGAAAATCCACGATACGACTTTTAAAGAGATATTATGCACTTTTTAAATCCCAGTGAATTATTCTCCTCTATATGTAGTGTTTTCTCATTGAGAACTTTTAATGTAAATTTTATGTTTTTCTAATAGAATCCTTTCTTACTTTTACAATTTTTACTATTGAATTTCAACTATTGTACTTGATCTTAAACTACCAATAGACCGATGGAGGTGCTAAAATGGGATGTTACAATATGCTCTGTCGGGGTTTTGTACAAGTTAATCCTAAGTATTACTCCAGACTTTCCTCTTTCCCCAGCCTCCATGGATCGAGGTGCACAATATGACTATCAATATGTCATATAATAGTAAATATGACGAAGCTAACGAGTTATGTAACTAACAATAATTGTTATACTTTGGACAATAGCGGGAGCAGTTTTATTATTGCTTCACTTTTGGAGGACCTGGTGGAAATAATTGTAGTCCTTAATTACTAATTAGCTAGAGATGTTGAAGCTTAGCTTTTCGTTTTATGCTATGAACGAGATTGTTTTCCCAATTGATTCATGGAGTAATTTGAAGGCGTGTTGCCAAAGCGAGCATTGTTTAAAGGTAATTAACATATATCTCCAATAAAAATGTTGTAAGTTCGATGCTCCACCCCACATGTTATATTTAAAAAAAAAAAATTCGAAGGCCCAAAGGTATTGTCTTTTGTTTAAAATTCTACATTAACTTATGAATTTTCATATTTATTTTTGTTCCATCTCTAAACTCTTAAATGTTGTATATATTTTCTTTTTCAGAGGATTTGATGGTGTCTTTCTACTTTGGTTTTGTTTTATTTGTATTGTTTGTTTGTTTTCTCCATAAAAAAATTGGATATTTTTCCTCTATCTTTTGAATTTTAATGAAACAAAGATCATGAAAATTTATAGATAATGTGGATAAGCAAAAGGTGTTCTCTTTTTCTTGTTAACATAATTAAATTACCAATGAATTCAAGGGGTAAATTTAAACATTTATGGGATATCTAACTTTTTTTTTCATTCTATTTTGGAAATGAGGAAAGATTTGAAGTGATTCTTCTTGTTGCGATTGATTTTTTTTTTAATGTAATTAGTTCATTTTATTTTCGAACTCTCATTTTGAGAAAGTCTCACGTTTCAATTTTCACAAATTCTTAGAAGATATGTGTTTGTTGGATTCTTCTCATTTTTACTTCGATTTTCTTTTAGTTCCGGGATCAAATCATATTGAGGGACAATAGGTGTCTTGTCCTGCTTGAACTATATTTGGTGATAAGATGTAAAATATACACGAGTTACAGACCTCTTGCTCTTTTGCTCTGACATCATTTTAAACATCTATATCTATACTATATATAAATGGGGTTATGGAGTAGAATTTTTCTCTACCAGTTTTGCCCTCAATTTTGTAATATATACCAATTTTGCTCTTTAAACTTCGAGGGGATACGATTGGTCGAGGTATCTATTGATCCAATAGGCATGTTTTACACATGTCTATTTTGCCTTTCAGATTTTTTTGAGATGCGATTATTTGGATCAAGGTGTCTATTGAGAGAATCGGTGTGATCAAGACCGAAGAGTTTGCCTATTCGCATATTGGTGTGATGGAGATTAGAAAATTGTGTCGCACATTCTTTCACACATTAAAATGAGAAGTTAAAACAATAGAAGTTCAACTCTTCAACAAAGTGATGTGTCTATTCACATATAGGTGCAATTGCAAACCATCTATGAAGTGAAAGAAAACTAAAATGGTCATACATAAAAATTGTGTCTGTTCTTTTTCCTTTCGTCAAGAATGTATATGAAAGTTTTTTACTTTAATTAAATGATTCATTGATATTTAGTTTGAATATTYGTATCTATTATAAATGTGGCTTTCTTAATTGATGTTGGTTTTAACTACTCTTGGAATCTGTTTATTTATTGTTTACGTCTCTTTCATTATTTTTTAGAATAATTTTTTTTTATTAATTAACTTGAGTTTCTAAACTGATGTGATAGTTTTGATTAATAATTTGTGTACTGTGATCACATTTAGGTGTAATTGGTCCTAAAACCACCAAAACTAGAGAAGATCCAACCATCTCCTAGAAGAAAAATCAATCAAAGTCCGAGATCTTATCAACAAAATTTGGAGGTACTACCAATTTCGTGAAAAAAAAAATCAACAAGAACACGAGATTATATGAAAAGTAAGTTTTCAATCATCTGTATTCTTTAATTTCTTTTTATGAAATTTTATGATTTATCTTTTTAATTCATTTTTTTTCCTTTTATCTTCAACAACCTCCTCATTTTTCATACGAACAAGTTTCGATTTTTTTTTATTTCAGACTAACTTATTATTGATCTATATTGAACCTTTTTTTTCGTTTTAAATCATATGTATATTTCTAGATTTTAAAAGATATTAATTCTGCAACAATCTCATTGTGTCAAACATTTTTTAGAAAATTTTCATTCATATGATTTATTTTTCCTAAAATTTGTAATGATAAAATTTTATAGTATCATTATTTTTTTCTAAATTTGTTTAATATCTTATTTTCTTTGACTAGATAAAATATTACTAACAATTTTAAAATATAATAGACAATAATTTTTTAAAACAAGCCGTCATAAAAAAATTTAAAAAAATAAGAGGTAGATTTTTTTTTTTCAAAAACTAAAAATTTAACAGAGATTTAAAAATTAGGTTTAAAGTAATTATTTTCTTGCCTAAAAGTGTTATAAGTGAAATATATTTTATAATTTTAAAATGTAATCCAATATCTCTTTTATGAAAATACAACATTTTTGTAAAAATAATAATCATAAGCATTTAAAAGAAAAAACTAAAGAATTTACATTTTTTTTAATAAAAATCTCCCACAAAAAATATATCTCGAATAAATAAAAGAAATTACCTACTTCACTCTTTTAATACAATAATTACCTACTTATCCTTACATTTAATAGCTATTCTACGATTCCCATATTTCACATTTTTTTTTAATTTTTAACTTTTTTTATGTCAATCATACATTATATTACTATTTTAAAATGAAGATTAATTCGAATTTTAGTATCGAACTATTAACATAAAAAAATTTCTTCGAAGAGAGGTATGACGTTATACATATATATGAATTTATATTTTAATTATCTATGATGTTTTTTATTATTTTATCGCTTTCATTATTTTAAAAATTTATATCAAATATTTAATAGTTAAACATTAATAAAARGTATATTCATTCAAATATGAAATCACCATAAAAAATTGTATTCTAAAAATATAAACTCACGTGCAATGCACGTGAATCTAAATAGTATTATTAAATGACCAAATCAAATACAAAAACTTTAAGTTGACGGATAGGGATAAATTTAACTATGTATATACATCATAACATATGCAATTTGACTCTTCGTCTTGGAGACCTTAGATCCGATTCTTTTTTTTTTTTTTTGAAATGGCCTTAGATCCGATTCGATATGCAATCTAATTCTTCGTTTTGAGACCTTAAACTTGACTCTTACTATCCTCACGTACCTCGCTTCGCATAGCTCATTCCTATCTGATCTACTCAAAGAGTTTAAAGCAGTTTTAAATGTCGATGTCTCAATTTCATGGAAATTTCGTAAAAATTGGGTGGGGGGTTCAAACTCATGACCTCTTGGTCAAAGATAGATGACTTAACCATTTGAGTTATGTTCGGTTTGGCAAGTTGAAAATGGTTAATATTAGTATTTTGTCTATATTAGTAACATTTTGTTGATATTTGTTCATATTTTATCTATTTTTTGTAATRTTATGGGAATATCAATTTTTACTCTTAGTCTCCGTTTGTTTTGTGGGAATCCAAGATTCCCGTGAAATGGGCATCTGGTTTCCCACATTTGTTTTGCAGTAATGTAAGATACTCGGATATCCCGAGATGCTCGAGTATCCCAAGATGCCCATACGGGAGGGATGTTGCGAGTTTAGATGCCCTTTTGAAACACGGGTTTCCAATATTCTCATATTGAGGCATCCACTTTTTACATTTTTGCCCTCCATTTTTTTCTCCATATATTTTCTTTCATCAATTCTTTTTAATTTTTCCTAAAAAAAGCTTTATTTTTATTTTAAATTTATAATTAAAATAAATTAATATTCTCATTGTCTAATAAATAACTTTATGTTATTAAGTATATTTGTACATTAGATTTACATGTAAAGTAAACTACAATTAAACTATATAATATCTCCATTTATTTTTAATATTTTGAAGGAATTACATTATTAAAAATATTTATTATCATAAATATATAATTGTAAAGCAACATTTTTTATAGCCAACATACTCGTGATATTTTTCCTCTTAAAAAAATATAATGTGGTAATATGATAAATAAATTTCACCGAAAATAACATAAATTATATAATTGTTCTATTAGAAACTATTAAAGTTAAAAATGAAACTTATATTAAATTAATAATAAATTAATCTGTTCTACCAAATAATATAAAAAAAATAAAAATATCAAATTAATTCAAATAAATCTATTTATTATATGAATTTATAAATTATATAAATATTTGTGAGGGTATTTTTGAAACATTCTATAAATTTAACACATTCCTAAAATAAACATTCTATAAATGTGATTATCAAAATATTCTCAGATATCCTTAAAAATCCACCTACCAAACAAACAGGTTATCTTTGATCATCTACATCCCAAAAAACAAACGACACCTCATGTTAATATCAAACTCACGAATATATAAAAATGTGGGAAATGTAAACCTCTCAACAGATATTTATGGTTTAGAGACCAAAATAGACTCATTTGAAAGTCAAAAAATAGAATTTAAAGCTAATATTCCCTTAATTAAAGTAAAACTACATTCACGAGAAACGGAAAGGAAAAAACAATGTTTTCTTCCTCAAATATCCAATCCCTGATTCTGAACATGATCAGGAGCTAAGAATCGCAAATTTGCAGTCTCTCGCTTCTCTCTCTCTCTCTCCGCCGCCGTAATCATGCGCTGAATTCAACCGGTGGAGGAGGCGAAAGAAAGGCTGAGATAACAACAAAGGTATTCTGATTCTGATTCTGATTGTAATTCTAATTCTAATTCTAATTCTGCTGCTGCAGATTTCAGAAATTGTCTTCTTCTTTGGGCTTCTCTCAGCCACATTTCCCTCTCCTTCATTTTGTGAAGCCCATATTCACTCCCATAAATCTGGGTTTTCTGCCTTTCTCACCCATCTTTCTGTTTGTGGCTCCAATTTTTAACTTCGTTCATATCTCTTCTTTACTTGCACAATCTTCCTCGCCATCCAAAACCCATCACTAATCGCCCTCTAGCTTTTAGCATTCTCATGTTAGTACACGATTCCTCTTCTTCTGTGGGCTGACTTTGATCTTTCGATCTGTTTTTTGGGTCTGATTGCTTTTGTTTATCAGATTGGATAATCTGGGAAATACACTATCTACTTGCAACATTGAATTTTCTTGAATTTGGGTGTCCATTTTCAAATTCTAAATCTGGGTGTTCTGAAATTTGGTTCTGATAGTTCAGATGCGAAATGGAGACGGTGATTTGATTAACTTATTTCTAACCAAATTATTCTATTTTAGCTGTTCCTGATATCTGTGTTCAATGAATCAGATTTTAAAACCATCTAGTAGTTGTATAATGGGTGAAACAGAGAGTTTTGTTGGCTAGTTTACTATCTTCTCTATGCTTCCTTTTATATTCATAAAAATTCTGTTATATTTATTAAAGTATGGACCAACAGTTATCTCATTTGCATTTTGAAGTTACTTGATACTTCTTTTCCCTCCCCCAAATGTCTATGTGACTCAATAAGCAAACTACTTAGCTTCACAGGAAATTTTCTGGTTGTCCTGTTTTGAAGAAATAGCAATTAGTGAAACCAACTTACTTCATTGAACATAATTGTGTGGTTATTTGCAAAATGGTGCTTCTTCTTCTTCTTCTTCTTCTTCTTCTTCTTCTTCTTCTTCTTCTTCTTCTTCTTCTTCTTCTTCTTCTTGGGATGACTTGCTAAGGTTTCTTCTGTCAAACAAATCCGATTGTTTATGGAGATCTATGGAATAATTGAAAAGGCTATGCATCAATTTTTTTTCTAGGATTATACTTCGTCTTTTCTTTCCTTCTTTACGTTCGTTTTCTGCATAGCACTCATGCTTGAGTCTGTTTGTTTACACTTATCTACTGATTTAGAATATTATAAATTTTGACTGAATGTTATCAAATTTATATGTGGAATTGTAGAAAATGTGTCTGCATTTTCAGTCAATACCCAATCGCTGTTACATTCAGATGGGAAATTTCTAGGCGTTCTAGATAAATGGAATTACGTATAGCCTATAGGAAGTAGTCAGCATAATCTATCTTCTACTGGCAATGGGTAGCATTTGCCGAAGCATAGTCTGATCTACACTAAGCTCGAACACATATCTACAATATTGCTACAATACCTTATTACCACTGGCTTCATATTGACATGTCCTTTCTGCCATTTTAAGGACTCTTAGAGTTGATGTGCTATAAGAAATTTTGCTTCTTCTGATTTGATCTAGTTTCACTACCGTCTTTGAGTATAATTATTGTTACTAGACTTGCACCAGTTATTTTTAACTCGTTCATACTTCGATTAACCCTTTTTCCTTGTTTGGAATGGGGGATGCCTTACTGATACCATTCGACATATCAAGAAGATAACCCTCGAACCATAGGTCCATAGTTTTGGTGCCAAAAAAACACTAATATGTTACTAACCATTTGCATAAAAATCGACTCAATATGTTTTGATCTTACTAATGCACTTTAGCAATGAGTTGTCAGCTGTGCAATCCGTTATCTTATACTGAAGTAAACACTAGCTTATATCTTACACATACTCTCTTTGTCTTCTTAGAAGTTATACTTGAAATTCATTTTTATACAACAAAAGCCACTCCGAGCATACTTTCCTAGGGGTGGCCATGGTGGTAGTATTGAAAACCCTATATATCTCTCGATTCTGACTTGGCACAGAAGTACAAGTATATAGATGGAAAACACATAAAGATCCCAAGGGTATTAGTAGTTACTTTTGAGAGAAATATTTTTGCAATTACAGTAAGTAGTAATATAAATAAAAACCAACGGGAAGTGGAAAACGTCGAAGGGACACATAATGTAATTTTTAACTCACAACTGAAGATTTATAGTAGTTGGTCGTTCTTTGTTTAGAATTCTATATTTTTGGATCAGGGTGCTGTGTGATTGAAGCATGTATTGGTGAAGTGTTGTCATTTGGGTCCATCTGTTGATGAAATATCTTTTTCTTGCATTGCTCATTTGTTTTCATCTCTCTCACATTCCTTTTGTTTCAGATTCATCATTTCGAAAGACTCAGAAAGACTCCATTGTTTTCTTTAAGCTGACTGGTGTCGTTAGATACGTTTATTCTCCCAACATTTCGCCCCCTTTTTATATTGAATCCAAAGATGGGAGATGTGGCCAAGGACCTCACCGCTGGGACTGTCGGAGGGGCAGCACAGTTGATATGTGGGCACCCGTTTGATACCATAAAGGTCAAGCTGCAAAGCCAGCCTGCTCCACTTCCTGGCCAACCTCCCAAGTTTTCTGGTGCCATGGATGCTGTCAAGCAAACTATAGCAGCCGAAGGCCCTCGAGGGTTGTACAAGGGTATGGGAGCTCCGCTCGCAACTGTGGCAGCCTTCAATGCCGTTCTCTTTTCAGTAAGAGGCCAAATGGAAGCACTGTTGAGATCTGAACCTGGTGTACCCCTAACTGTCAATCAGCAGGTAGTATGTGGAGCTGGGGCTGGAGTTGCTGTGTCTTTTCTCGCTTGCCCCACCGAATTAATCAAGTGCAGGTTCGTTTTTCCAGTCCCACTCGAATCATTTTACCACCGTCTTCCATATTCTTGATAATTCACAAAGCTAATCAGATAGTACTGATATCAACATGACCATTAATATGTCTGTTCTAATTGTAATTGCAGATTGCAAGCCCAAAGTGCATTGGCACAATCCAGTTCAGCTAGCCTCACGGTGAAGTATGGAGGGCCAATGGATGTTGCCCGGCACGTCCTGAAGTCGGAAGGCGGTGTAAGGGGACTCTTCAAGGGATTGGTTCCAACCATGGCCCGAGAAATACCCGGAAATGCGGCCATGTTTGGGGTGTATGAGTTGCTGAAGCAGCGCTTTGCAGGAGGCCCAGACACTTCAAAACTCGGAAGAGGCTCCCTGATTGTGGCTGGAGGACTAGCTGGAGCTACGTTCTGGGGCTCCGTCTACCCAACCGATGTCGTCAAAAGTGTAATTCAAGTAGACGATTACAAAAACCCGAAGTACTCGGGTTCAGTTGATGCAATTAGAAAGATCTTGGCCTCAGAAGGAGTTAAAGGACTGTACAAAGGTTTCGGTCCTGCCATGGCCAGGAGTGTACCTGCAAATGCTGCTTGTTTTCTGGCTTATGAGATCACCAGATCTAGCTTGGGATGACTATGAATCCCTCTGAGTCATATTTGCTTTTCATTTGATTGAACAAATTAACATTCTTCTTCATTTCCTTCCTCTAAGAAAACAAAAAAAGGGGGAAGAAATCCATTCTCAATTTATAAAAGCTATTAAACTACGAAACCTGATTCTTTTTCCATAGTAGAATACATCTTAACGATTGAACTGAATCGTTACTAGAAGTGTCAACAGGATGAGATAAGGTTAGCTAAGAAGCTCGGACACTTCATTTTGGGTAACGTGCTCGTGTTGGATACTTGAACACTCCAACACTTGTCGGGCACTCAATAGCTTAAAATACACGTGTGTCACACACTAGTTGTAATAAGTGAATATAGATTCGACACTTGTTAGGCATATATCGTACACTTGTTAAGCATAAGAAATAGACATAAATAGTAGTATAGGACAAAATAATAAACTTTGAGAGTAAAATACATCAACTCGCTCTTTTACACATAAACATGCATAAGCTTTGACCTTGAATTTTCTTCCTAAAAAATTGTATGTTTTAATAAACATGTCATTGAGGTGTTCGTGTCTTAGATTTTTAGAAAATAACGTATCATCGTGTCAATTCTTTTTTCTTTTTTGAGTTCGGAGATTCAAATTTTTGATTTTTTAATGGAAGATAATACTACAATTTTTTTTTCCAATATCAAAATTTTTAGGAAGTTGTATGCTCAATAAAGCAAATGAAGAGGGGAGGAAAAATGATGGTGATGATGATTGATATTATATATAATTATATAAAAAAAAAAAAAGGAGGAATGAGGAGATGTTGGTGATGGCTGCTGGCCAATCACATTCTTCAGTTGGATGCTTCATGTCCAAATGAAAACAAAAAGTTTTCTTTTTTCCTTTTTTCTAAATATTTGTGATTTTAAAGAGGAAAAAAATATCTTTTTGACTTTAAAACTAAAAAAAAAAAAAGGATAAGGAAAGAATTAAAGGATTGATCATACACAAAACTCAACAGTAAAGCTTAGCTGGATCAGCTCTGGCATGCTGCTACTGCTTTTTCCCTTTATTATTGAAAATAATTTTTTTTTAATTCAAAAAGCTATAGGAATATTCTCAATTTTCTAAAAGCAAAACAAATTTTTTTTATTTTTTTTTTTATTATGTTAGAACTTAGAACTGATAAATTTATTAAAAGATTGTTTATTGTAACCCTTGGCGTTTATCTTTATTATCTCTCCAATTATTGTTAAGTTCGAGTTCAATGTTGGGGTACCAATATAGTTTAGATCACAAGTGATAAAAAAAATTTAAATATATAAACAACGACGGCTATGCAACTTTTATGAGTAGAATTTAAAAAAAAAATCATAAAATTTAAGCTCAAAATAGAGTTAGCTGTCCGATAATTGACGTCAGAGTCGGTTGTTAGACAAGCTATGTTGATAAAATTCTCAAAGGTAGAAGAAAAAGTGTTCGAGTTTTAGAAGTCTAATCAAGTGGATGAAATATGGTAGTGACCCTTCCGATGCTCCAATAGAAAGATCGTTGAAAGAAGATGATTGTTAAACATGCACATCAAAGCACACTAGCATCGGTTATCTCACCAATATGTGATCTATATGAATCTTAATATGGTAGAGAACGGATAGATGGATGATTTTTTTTTTTTTTTTAACAGAGAGGAAAAGAAACATCTGAGATATTTTCAAAGGTCGTTCTTCAAGTTGGATAAATATTTCTTCATTCATCACCAAGTCTATCTTTGCAAGTATATTCGCCACTCTGTTGCCGTCTCTTATAGTGAAATTATACAAAAAGCGACTCAATGGTCCTTTGTATCATATAATTCTCCTTTCTTYTTCTCCGTGTTCTATCATTTCAATATTATGTAGGGAGTAAAAATCGATTAAATTTCAACGTGTCACCCTTATCCGATGAAGTAGCATTAAATGTTGTTTATTTTTTTTTTATTGTATGTTAATTCACAGTCATGTGTCCTTACATTAGAATAGGGTTAATAATAAGCAATAATAGATACGTTTTGGCAATTTACAAGGCCACATTAATAATTAATATACCAATGAATTACAAATAATCATAGTTAATCCAACAAGCAAAGCAACCCAATAAATTCACAATATATACCAATTTTACAAGTTATTAGTTTCAATCAATTTCACTTCAAATTAAATCCAAGAATAAAGAAACTTAATTTTAACTCAACAAAATATGCTAAACGCAAACCTAAAGCTAAATGTTTCAAACAAAACAATTAATCACAAAGAGTAAATGATTTTCTAATCAATTTTAATAATAAATATGCATATTAAACTCGAGCATTAAATATATATATATATATAACAAAAACTTAGACGCAAGAATTAAATTTAAATGGGTAAAAGAAAATAGGTTTATCACATCCAGGAAATTCTAATCAAAAGTATTGCTCAAAGCATTCCAACCTATGCTAAATTGTTCTATGCTTCTTAAAATATCTCATCCAGGAAATTAATGCTAACTGTAGCCAAATTTGTGTGGGGTTCTATAAAAGAACGTAGAAATATCCACTGGATTAGATGAGAGCATATGTGGTAAATGGTCTAAACTTTAGAGGTTTCGAAGATTTTAACCAAGTTTTGTTAGCTAAACAAGTTTGGTAGATTTTAAATAACCCAAATTTCTAGAAGGGAAATAGTTTCCCGTCATGTGTACTAGAAGCGAGAGACGAACACTAACTCTTCGTTTTTCTAAAAAAAAACTTTATGGAATGACAAAAATGCAAATGTAAAAATCATCTGATTCTAAGTGTGAAAGACATTAGTAATTGAGTTTGATATAAGGACATTTGAGTCCATTACTCTAGCTACGTAGTGAGAAATCAGAATCAAGTTGTTCATCTTAGACTATGATACCATAAGTTCAATCTCAAAATTAATTGACGATAAGAGAAAAATAACTTATGTCTATTATAGATTCTTGTTAATTCTCTTATCTTTTCAATGTAAGATCGTTAATATGCTACAAAAGCACTGCCCTTTTTCCTTGGGCAGATGAATTCCCATTGCACGACTATTTTCTTGATTGAAATTTTATTAAAAACAAGAAAAAGGACGAAAACTAAGTCCAATGATCTATTAAAAATTTTGATTTTGAAAGTGGTTGAAACTTGAAAGAACAAATTTATAATTTTACAAAACGTATGAATTTACCATTTCACCCTCACCACTAAAACAGACAAATAATGAAACAA